ACTGCCTAAACGAAATCTGGTTCAAAACAATGTAAACTCTGCTTTTTGCCTACTGAAAAACATACTTGCTTTTGTATGTATACCTAAGTATTAAATAACATTAGGTACGAAGTTACCTAATATAATATTACTCGCCAGATATTTGAAGTAAACGCAGAGTAATTTGGAGCTCTGAAATGTGGCTTTCTGTGTGTGTGTAATAAAATGAACAGCAATCTTTTATGTTTGCAATGTCATAGAAATTCCGGAGAAAAATTTTCTTTTGAAGAATTTTTCTTCGTAAATTCTAGTGTGGGGTAATAGAAATATCTTTGGCAGATTATGTACATATTTTTGTTTTTGGTGTAAACCTGTTGCTTTTTAACCGACTCCTTCAGTAATATATTTATTTCGTCTGCTTTATATTGGTATTACTTAGTTCGAAACAAAGATTACTGTACCGCCTTTAGGATGCAGTTCCATTGAGGCGCGCGCGGAGAAGAGCCGTGCCGCGATTCACCAATCATATGGTTTGGACACACACACATTCCACATCGGAGAAGAGATGTGGATTTCAGCCTCAATGGAACTGCACCCTAAGCGATTAATGATGCTTAAGTACACCTGCAACACCAGAGGAGCTTTGCAGATCATTTGTGTAAATAACAATAATAAACTAAAGGTAGCATTTACTATCAATGAAAATTTTACAGGGCACTTTTTTTGTGGTATATTGGCAAACAAGATGCAGCTCTTACGATTCGTCTCGTACGATGGTTCTAGGTATACAGGGTGTAAAAAGACACTTAACGAAGCCGAAAGCCACGTATTCTACCCATTATTTGGATCATTTTTTCTTTAAGACCATAGCTGGGACTCCACGGGTTCTCGAGATATTGAAGGTCAAAGATGCATTTCTAATATTTTTTTTGCGCAATCGAATTCTAAGTATTATTACAAAACTTTTTTCCAAACAAACATTACCTGAATATTAGATTTTTCTAAATAAATTACGCATTTGAAGTTACGAACACTAATATACGTAATAATAAATGCAGATCCGCACAAAAAACATCGTGCATCTCAGTAGGATTTTTATTTTACAGAATTGTTTTGTTGTTGCGAAGTAAAACGTCGACCTACGTACTTATCACAGCGTTATAATGCTAAGCTGTGAACCTACGCTCACAATGACACGAAGCCCGTTTGCTTTACATTGCGCGCAATAAAATTATTATTATTTTTGATACCTAAAAATAAAAGTCGTTTCCCAGTGATAATTTTAGCGTAAAGCTACTTAGTTAGAACTGCAGTATGCGTAGTTAACGGCTTCGTAAAGTGTCTTTTTACACCCTAATTTAGCACTGGAATTTCTAATAAAATGTTAATAATTTCAATAGAATCTATCATACAAAGAGTGAAGTGTCCAATTCTGTAGTTGTAAATTCTCCGCAATATCTCGTAGTCTGGATTAGTTCCCGATTGATCAATAGGCTCTTCGTCCGACATGGGATCCACGAAGGATTTAGCATAAAAGGTGCAAGGGAAGGACGGCCTGTCGCAAACTGTAAACCGAGTCGAGCTATAGACTGTCTACCTAAGATAGCAGCTTCCCTGTTACATGAAGTAGAAATACATTAAGTAAATGTAAGTATGTGATGAAAGAGGACATTATTTTTCAATTGTTATTTACTACTAATTTAGTGAAATCAATGTAATAAAAATAATGGTCCTTTTTGATTAGCTATATTTTTACGATACACATAGATTAGCCATCTGTATACAATATCTAAAATGCTAAGTATATCTAAAAACTAGGTATTAGAAAATACAGTAGGTCCTGCCATTCAAAATATAACCTAACGACGATAAAAATAAGTTCATATATGTATATGTCTAAGTACCACCTTACCTTATCTTGCCTTATTTCGCGTTTCCACAAATGTAAAAGTGATGGATGGCCGAAAAAAACGCCACTATCTTAAGTTGGAGGCTGCTGGGAGCACTGGAAAAAACCTAAAAGACATTAGTCACAGTTTGATATCGGTCATGTGTGTGAAAACTTACTTTTTTATGTGATAGGACGGCAAATGAGCTCACGGAATACCTGATGGTAAGCAATCAGCCCGCCCATGGACACCCGCAACTAGGGAAGAAATATGAGTACGTTGCTGACTTTTTGGGAATTTGGAGAAAGGGATTTGGAGATTTTGGGATTGGGGGCCTATTTTCCGTGTGGTCATGATATCACTCTGGTCGAACCAACCCATTCGTGTCGAATCACAGATCTCCCACACTTATTATTACTGACGTTGTTTTACAGTATTATAACTAGTTTAAAAGCCTCTTTTAACACTTTCATAAACATTAGTTAAACGGATAGTTTCCTTACTGGCTATTCAGATAATTTTAAATAGGCCTACTTAAGTATTAATGAGAAGCCTAATAAGTGTGATAGGTTCATATGTAAAATCTATTTTAAATTGTGGGAAAGCAATGTTTCAACACAAATGCAAGTAGCTCGCCGCAGCCGCCCGACGAGAACCAGGCCGACCGTGCGGTGGGTTGCGTTCCGCGTGCACCTCAAAGAGCTAATAGACTACTACAGACGGGGCCCTATAGGGCTGACGTTCAGCCGGGGTTGCGGGACAAGCGCAATAAGGCACCGCGGCCTCAGCCTAGAGTAGGAAAAAGAACAGGGGGATTTTAGTCTGTAAGAGTCTGACACTCAAGTCATTTGATAATTTTCCGCTCACAAAAATTGCCTTTAATGACTAAAAACCAAACCTGCCTTTCTCCTGCCACACCCGCAGTCTCGGCCGAACTATTATCTACATTCTGAAGCTGAATGTGTAATAAGATACTCCATAGTGTTCTAGTTGTTAGAGTAGCAATACTCAACTCATACATTATCTTCCACAAAACATGAGTCAATTGAGAGATTGGAGTGGAATGAACTTGCACTCGTCATTACCTAATGCACCTTCGCAATGCTTTTAAAATCCAACACGTTTAGTTATACGCGAGTACAAACAAAAGTTGAATGGATACCGCTAGGGATATTTCTTTAGCGCAAAGAATAAAGCACTGAGATTATAATATCGTGAGTGAATCCTATGCATAGGGTAGTAGAGACGTGAACAGTTGGCTTTTGTTTCATTTTAGTTTAACTTTGTGATACGTAGACCTTCATACGGCCCTGCTCTCCTAGGTACTCCTAGCCAAGTTCAGTATCGACATTCCCTATCAAAATAAAACGATTAATGTTTGGAGCTTTCTGAAGGATATCTTTAGGAAGGATACCTAAATCACGTGGTAACCGAATTAATTTAAAGGTAATAAAATAAAGGTACGTTACATTTGTTTCTCATTTCTAAAGCGATAACGATTATCGATACAAAACTTTGCTAGAGAGGTGGCTTCACAATTTCTAGATAGACGCTATACCTTTAGGTGTGAAATGGGTTTTTTCACTTGTATCTTACACCCTCGTGTGAGTGAGGTTGTCTGAAGCCCAGTCCTTTCCCTCCTTTGTCGAGTTCTGAAACTCGTTAAAGCATGCAAGGGGTAGATACGCATTTGTAACTCCTCTGGTGTTGAAGGAATAGGTCCGTCTCTAATTTAAGTAGGTAGGTACAGTCAGGGGTCAAAACGCAATTGCACTCTACCTATCTAATTTCTATTTTCTACCACTCTATCTAATTTCAAAATGACCAAAATATCTTTGTAGAATAGAGTCAATGGTTGAGGACTGCTTATTTATAGCATAGAATCTAAATTATTGAATAAACTGGCTGTGAACCATTGAACTTTTAATACAAAGTAATTTTAGTCATTTTATAATTGGTAGAGTGTAATTGCATTTTTGACCCCTGACTGTACATGAATATGTACGTTATTATTAAGGTCATTGTGGTCCTTAGACCATAGTGTTAAATTAGGTACATGAAGACTGCTCAATTATTGACGCATTGGCTGGGCTTCCAGCTGCCGTGTAACGTGTCGCCAGTTCGATTCCCACATGGACCGACTCTTTGTGTGATCCACAAATTGCTGTTCAGGATATTAGATTCTGTGAAATAGTGTAGGATGTGAAATTGTATGTTTGTAAACGCACACACAACACTGTAGAGAATCCTAGTGTCATCGAAAAGTAGGAGATTTTTAGCTTGTAGATTTAAAAATCTGTCGTTAGGACAGTAGGTACCTAATAATAGCACGGGTTACCTAAAGTTTTTCTAAAAACCGAAAGCCATTAGATGTTTTCTCTACAAAATATCAAATGTAACAAACTATAACAACGAACGTCCAATGAAAAAAGCTACTCCTATCTTCCTTCTTACAATTTTTACCTACCTAGATACGGGTAAAAAAACCAATGAAATTCAAGATGGGTAAGTATTGGCATAAAAATTTATTGTCCCATTTCTGTAGCAAATAAATCGCAGCTGGCACAAAGCATTCGCCCAGTCCAATTTATGTCGATATTGTCGCGAAAATATTTCATTTAGTTTGTTCAGTACACGTCGCGACTCGCGAGCCCCGGGCGGAGTAAGCGCGGACCAAAGGAAAGATCCGAAATGAATTCAGATATCCTCCATTTTATAATGTTCGTAGGTAAGTTGCAGGTACAAGTAGGGATGACATTAAAATGTTACGACCCATTTAAAAAAATATTGACATGCATTTTCACAAGACCACTGCAACCGTCGCCGTTTTTTACCCCGGATGGGGTAAAGGCAAAAATACACTTAGTGTTCACCTACTTTCACCAGCTATGCGATTATTCTGGTGTAATAGGAGGTAAATTTTAGCATGTTTATTACAACTTGGTGCTAAAATCCGTGATTAGTTTTTTTTTCGTATATAAAATATGATAGGATATACCTATAGATGATCACCTACATAGCCATTATAACCAGGATTATAACTTTGTACACCTATCATGCTTTCGCAGACGCTAGCGCCAACTAGCGGGAAGTGCGAGTACTTGAAAATGAAACTGATCTGTCAGTAGCTCAATTCATCTATACCCGTATCCCGTATTGTCTATGACCTGTAACATTTATCTATGGTCGCGTCGACGTTTTGTTTATGTCAAAATGCGACGCGGAATTATTTATAACCTTGTCGCATGATTGTGTTTGTTAAAGTTTGTTAAATAAAATGGGTAAAAATATATATTTATTCTAAGACATGTGATGATGTGAAAGTTGTAAGTTTTTCATTGTTGTCAATAAATGTGCGTCGCCACAGCAACATGGAGGCCAAGAAAATATCATTTGGTTTTATGAAAACTAAAAAAGTTGAAAAGCCAATTACACCGATTGTAAATGAGGATAAAAGAGAATATATAGAATGCGTGGAAGAAAAATCGATTAAAGTCATTGGGTGAGTAATAATCTAACATTTTTAAGATAACCTTGATAAATATAAAGACATGTCTGTGTCAGCCAAATGTAACATTTTACTATTCCTACCTAATGTTTTATAACAGTAAAAATGCACTTTTTGCTGACGCTATCATTATTGTGAATGTCCCAAATTTCCTGATTGACTTTACTTAATCAAACATTATCTATTCAACAAAAGTATTTTGAATTTATCAGATTCAAAGGTAAACTGTTCCTAATCTGGACAGTGAGTATTGTTAGTCGTCTCTGTAACTATACTATCTGAATTCATTCTTATATTTATCTACAAGATTTTATATGGAAAACAAAAGACAATGTCTTTCTTTTACTTGTGCTTAAAAAAATGCCAAATACTTAGATTTTAATATACTCCAAACCAATATTTTCTTCTGTATTAATTTATCAAACCAAACAATTGTATTACTATTGGGTTTCTAATTACCGTGATGGAATGGTTAATGCCTAGTCCCTGTTTTGACTAGGCATTAACCATTCAATCAACGAATTTCAGTAATATGCGGCATATGGATGCTTGCACAAAATTAGCCTTTTTGTGATCCACAAATTGTATTGGGTCTGGTGGTGAGGTACATTAGAATTTGTGTGTCAACAACACATTCCCAGTATAATAACTAAAACGTTATCTTATTACTACTTATCTTTCATCCACAGAGGAGAAACAGCGACAGAAGACTTACCTCTAGTAATTCCTATGAAGCCAAACACACTTATCACAGCAGAAAAACTAAAAAAAATAGCAGAGGAAGTGGAGAGTGCTGTGCAAGAGCCGGAAATAAAAGAAGAACCAGTTGAAAAAGAGAATGTTGTTGATAATGAGGCGCTTACCTTGGAACAGATGGCTGTCAGGGAGCTGATGCAGGAAGCTAAAAAAGAAATAAAAGTAGAAGTTCCTGATAACTTGGCTATACCTACTCCTGCTAAACCTGTTTTGGATGGAGAGAAAGAGGTAAGGAAATGCATTTATATTTAATTATTACTAGTAATTGTATGTTCGATGTTTTGTTAAAAAAGTTAGGTTATATGCAGTAGTTTTATACTATTTATACAGTTACACAGTTGTACTTTTACACTAATAGTATTTGGGAACGTTAATGTAACATCACATACTTAATTAAAAATACTGAATAATTATTTAACTTACAGACTGTTATACATTATACAGTATGTGTCTTTATAAAGTGCAATTTTGTTAAAGGAAAACATTTTTAATAAAAGCAACTTGAATTATAATTCTATAATTAAGCATTAGATCAGGGCTAGATATAAAATATGTAATGAAAGGTGATTTGTTTAATTTGGTTACTTTCAAAGTTTAAACTGACTAAACATTGAGTCATTACTCTAACCATTTTTAAAGATTGTATAACATATTCAATTTATAAAAATACTGGGTTGGAATTGTAGTTTGTGATACTACATCTAATTTAATATAAAAAGATGTACCTATTAGGTTTCATTACAAAGTATCAGTTTACTAAGAAAGTTAGTAGTTTTTACTAAGAAAGTCATAATAAACCCATTAGTATGACTTTCTTAATATAGTTTTGCTTACTTTTAATACTTACCAAAATTATTTACATAAAATATTTATTTGTATATTTTCAGTCCACCTTGGATGACTATGAATCAGTGCCAATTCAACAGTTTGGGATGGCAATGCTAAGAGGAATGGGTTGGACGCCAAGCAAAGATGGGTATGTAAACATAATAAATAATCAATAATAATAAGTACTAATTATAATAATTTGTGTCCCATTTAATTTAGATTAATGTTGTCTAAAGAGCCTCTAAGCAGTTGGCTTCAACCCCCATACGCCTCCCAAATGACCGGGACCCAGTGTTCCCTTGATTGGTAAAGACACAAATAATAAGTACTAAATAGCTTCTACGAATTTTGACATAGGCCAATAAATCTTAATGTTCCTTCAATATATTTGTCTTTTTCATGACAAGAATGATTGTATCATTTGATGTTAAGTCATTGATTGACAAAAGACATGCTTTTGTTAGAACTTTGACTGATATTTACACTGTGTTTTGAACGAAAAGGGAATTAGTCTCTCATCACAACTTTTTATTCCACCGAGAACTTATGTTGCATGTTGCACTTTTCATAATTTCCGAAACTACCAAATTAATAATTATTTGTCTCATCAATTACAGGTCCAAATACAAACAACCTGAACTCCGTCCAAAAGGTCTTGGCTTAGGAGCTGATAAAGTGATCAAAGACAATCAGAAAAAACAGACCAAGGATAAGAAAGAAGAAGAATTAGTTATTGTTAAGAACTCCTTTGTTAAAATTACTACCGGAAAGTATAGTGGATATTATGGCAAGGTGATTAAATACTATTTTATTTGATACTTACTCACTAAACAACACAGTTCACGACTTGTCATTTGTCCAGTGATGTTTCCTATAACTAGCAGCAGCGCAGAAGGAATTGTTGAGTTCACACTAGTTTTATAGCTTAAAGTTTATTTTCAACAGTTTCATAATTAAAACTCGTTATATATTACTGTGGTACTAAGCGTCTGGTCATGACATAATGCCCTGGTTTCATATATGCACAGCATACAAAACGCTAGACTAGTTAGATGCTTGACATAGTCAATTGTATAATATTAACACATTCACAATTGAACGCACAGGTGCACCTGTGCGTTCAATACATTAATGTATAGAACGCACAGGTGCGTCGAGGGCACACAGAGTAGCGTAAGGAAACGCACATACGCGTCGGGGGCACTGGATGTGTTAACAATAATTATTTTAATGCTTTTTGCGAAATGTATAATAGAAGATTGCCGATAAGTCTAGTAGTCCCTGTTGCACTAAAAATGAACAAATTCATTTGAAAATATCTTATATGAAAATAAATTGAATAGTAATTTGTTGATTTCAGGTGGTTAGCCTAGATGAGGACAATGGTAGAGTGATGGTGGAAATAACAGTAAAGAAAGAAACAGTAAGCCTCAGTGAATTCATGATGCAAGCTGTCACTAAATCCGAATATGATCGAGAATCCAAAGTTATAAGTAAGTATCTACATATAAACATTGAAATACCAATTCTATACAATTTACTCCACCCAAGTAGAAGCTGCTTGTTAATGGAAACTCTAGTCAGATAATTTCTTTCACAGATGCAATTGAAGATGTGACTTACAACTTCAGATGCACTTTTCATACAAACCCCGCCTCTTGAATGGCCAGCAAGACAACACTTTGACAACCCATACATTTTATTCATTATTCATTAAATATATTAATTCAATACAATTTTAGACGCAGATTCGTACGAAGAATACAAAAAGACAGAAAAAATATCGCAAAAACCATTGAAACAGGAGGAAAGGAGTTCAACCAGCCAGAGAAGTAATGAAATGAACAGAGAAATGAATATGAAAAATGACAGACAAACTAGCAACGATGGCTATAGAAGGGACAGAGAAGAAAAGTCGTCAAACGGCAGAAGTAAAGATAAGATCAGGGAAAGAAGAGACTCTTCTAGCAGTGAAGATAGGTCAAGGCGTAAGCAGAAAAAAGACAGAAGGCGATACAGTAGTAATGATTCATTGAGCTCTTCCGAAGATGAGAAAAGAAGAAGCAAACATAAGTCTAAAAGCAGAAGGCATAGAAGTAGTTCAGAAGACTCGCCCAAGAGAAGTTCAGAAGTAAAACGAGATATTGACAAAAAACGGAAAGGGAAGAAAAAGAAGAGAGACAGAGATCGGTCCCCCAATTATAAAAAACATAGAAAGTAATAAAGTGTAAATACTTTTTTAATATTTATGTATTTTTATTTTAATCCTACAAAGGTAATTAACCACTAGCTTTTTAAAAAGTTGTTTATGAGGCAGATTGTAGTATGGAGTGAGTGAATACAATAACATTTCCTTGAAAAAGTGTGCTCACTTTAACAAAAAGTTCAGTATAGTGACATCTGTGTAAATTTAGAGAAAGCAAAATCAGATAAGGTTCGCCACTACTTAAACCTGAAAGTTAGACACTTTCCGTGGATAGATGGCGTTAAAAATGTAGGCAAAACTTACATGGATGGCGTTGAAAAATTTTATATACATACCTGTAGTTCAGTTTTACCTGTCTGGATTCGCAGCTCAAACCGCACACACACACATACCTAGTGAAAGTGAAAAATTCAGCCGGGGTTGCGGTCCAACCTCAATAATGTGCCGCGGTCTAAGCTGGGGAAAGGCATGGGATGGTTATTAGTCAGTAGGGTAGACTGGGTACGGTTGAAACAATTTGGCATATTTGATTAATAATTTTGTCATTTACTAACCAAATGATCATTATGATACATGAAATTCAAATATGAAGTTTTAGCTACGATATGGCAGTGTCATTATGGTTCTCAAATTACTATTTTTGGAAATATGCCAAATTAAAAAATATTTATAATTTGTTTCAACCGTCCCCGTGCCAGGGGCGGTTGAAACAGCGATTGGGGACAATTGAAACACATAAAAATAAAACAATAAATACTAATGAAATATATTTTATTTATAATTAATACTAATTATATGAATAATTATCACAACATTAATCAGTATTACCTAAAGATTTTAATTCTTCTCAAACGTTTATCAGCCTTTGACTAATACCTAGTAAAGATTTAGAGAAATTACAAAAACGGTACCTAGTATCAGAACAAAGGTATCAGGATAAACTTTAAAAACAAATAGACTTTGAAAACAAACTAATTAAGAGACATTTATAAAATTAATAAAATAACCATTGTGAGTAAACTAAACGAAAATATTTTAAATCAAATAAACTAATAAAGAAACCCCCTGTTTACATCAAATAGACATGGAGAATTAACTTAGAGAAAACATTTAGCTTAGGCATTAATCGGAGTATTCAGAGTCGGAATTATAACAAACCTAGCTAAGACCACCTTCTGTGCATTCTTCATGTGCTTACACGAATTACATTGAATCCACTTCTCATAGCCCATATCGTCACCACCGGTCGCATCTCGCTTTCGAATGTATCAGGTAACATTGGTGTATACCATGCTTTTCCGCCGCTTTCCGTAAGGTTTCTCCAGCTTTTACCTCCTCATATGCATTACTATAACTCAATAAGTCAATGTTCCCTCTGGAAGTCCTCATTCGAAATATCGGCATCTACAAAAAAAAAATCTGTTTCGACCGTACCCACAAAAAATGTTTCAACCGTCCCCAAGCCCACTTTACGTATAATATACTCTATATTTACAACAGTAATCATAATACATTAAAAATAGTCACTATTCCTTATTCTACAAGCATCGTAATAATCGCAAACACACACCTTAATACATTCACATAAAAATAACAGATAATAAAAGCGTTAATGTCAGAAGAAAAATACTTACTTTTGTGTAATAAAAATCAATATGGCGTCCTGCACACAACCTCAACGCGCGGGATGTGGAGCGGCACTGTATTCGGGTTCGGACCTGTCGGCCGCTTATTCTTCCCCTTACAACCCTTATTCCCTGCGTAACCATTTACGAGATATTTACTCTGTTTCAACCGTCCTTTGTTTCAAACGTACCCAGTCTACCCTAAAAGTCGAAAGTCACGACCCATTCAAGGGAAATTTTCCCACTTCAAAAATATACAGAGTTATACATTAGTTATTATACATTTACCACAAACCTTTTCACTTTGCGTTACTACATCACTACATAGTTTTAAAATTCTTAGATTTTAAAGAAGTGATAAACGATTTTGCTCATCTTAAATCTAGAAGGGTACCTTTGCTATCAATCTAAGGATTTTATGCTAAGCGAGTTACTTTTGTAGATTATTTTTTATGTTAAGTAACTAAATAAATATAAATTTAGAACCTTGTTTGTCTATTTTCTTTATATATTACAACTAAATAGTGCTTTCTCAAGTTCATAGGGGCCCCATGATCCTGGGAGTTGGCCCAGGGCCAAGGGTAGTTTAAAGACGGCCCTGATGTTATGCGGGATTTATGCCAGATATCTAACTTCGCTTTGATTCGTCTGGCGATCGCCACGTATCTACAGGTTTTTCTAAGACCAGTCTGGCTAACTTTACTTAAAGAAATGAAAATGATTTACCTACTCGTAAAAAATGTTTTGTGACACACTTCCTCATGAAGTGGCTCTAATCCCATGGAAATTAGGCACACAATGACACTGTGTTTAGAATGAAACTGTGACTTTTTCATTAGATACCTAATATTACGTTTGGGTCATAAAGTTTTTATAATTATTATTGGTTTTGTTACATACGTTTACACTTGCGCTAAAATGCTACATATCCGCTAAAAGTGCACAAAAAAGAAACTTCATTTTTAATTTATGGCCGATGCGCGCGCTTATGAAATCTAATTATTTTTCCCCGCCAATATAAAACATATTTCACAAATCGTCTCGTTTTCTCCACGTAAATGTAGTGCTTAGGTATATTCTCTTTTTTTGGTTTTCTCGTTTGAAGTTATTTGGTTAGTTATTAATTAGAGAGGTAAGATGTCTGCAAATATCCTTAGATAATTGAAGAAGAAAATTATTTATGTTGTACAAATGTACCTACACCGTGAGACACCGTCTCATATAAAATGTGAAGCCCATTTAACGTTATGGAAAGTTTACTACAAGAAAACTCCAACGAAAAATGGTTTAATCAGAAGTGTGTTGAAAAACGTCGATGTACCTACCTATTGATGGTTGATATTTGATGAAACACGTGTTTGTTGATGATTAGCGCGTCCTCAGCTCCACATTTTACAATTGTATCTACCATAATGGACTATTACCTATACTTAATACGGTAATTGTCTTTCTTAATTATTCAAGTTTCTTTTTTCAGTAATAAGTTGTGGTTTCTTGTAATTAGGTACCTACCTATGCTAGTGTTGCTTAATATTCAATGACCTATCATGTTTTGTGCAGGTTGTGTGTGTGTAAAAATCGTTCTTTCCTCAATCTTTAATAACCAATAGTATCTTAATTTATAAAACAATTTACAGATAACTCCAAACATCAGAACAACTTCGATTAGAACTCACTGGATTCAATAAAAAGGGAGGGTGGTAATTTTAAACGCAACTGCGTTTACACAAGGCTTAACATCGGTGCAAGTGACAGTTCAATTAACGAGTAGAAGGTACCTGCAACGTTGTGTCGACGAATGAATATGCATCGATGCGTACGTACTTAGATAGGTACCCACATACTACATGTTTACATGTAGGTAACTATAAATATCTACATTATATTAGCGGCCCGCCCCTGCTTCGCACGGGTCTTGGACTACCTCGCTATTAATGACGAAAAAGTCATTGCTTTCCAATATTCCTCTTTTTATTCTATAAGTATATTTTTTTCATAAAATCCTTCTTTTGACTAGGTATAACAAACACAACAAAAAGTAATTGCTACAATTGGTTAGGCGTTTTTGAGTTATGCGCTTACTAACACATTTTGCGATTAATTTTTATTGTATTATAAATATGTCTATTAAATGTACAGTTTACGCAGTCAGTGGTTGGGCAACTGGGTGCCATGCGATGTGTCGGTTTGGTGCGATTCCCGCACGGAACAACAATGTGCGATCCAAAAATTTTTGTTTCGGGTCTGGGTGGCTTGTTTGTGTTTGTATGTCTGTACCCACGACACATGAAGAAATCAATAACCGACATACACATATTATTATATACAGGTACCTAATAGATAATTAATGGGTTCCTTCCTACATGCAAGTACAAAAGACCAAGTAGTATTATGACCCTTATTTTTAAGCTTATTGTCCTAACAACGTTTAGAATCATTTCTGATGTGTATAATTAGTATAATATAAAGTTTAGAGTGTCGTGGTGCGGTTGTATAAGCTCATAATTCCGCTTACCTACACAACACACCTAGTCTAACATCAAGAATAATATTCTGTGTTAGAATCGAAGCGACACCGGCCCCAAGCTTAACTTAGCTTCATTTACGTTGACGCTTAATCATCAGATGGGTCACGGTAACAATTCGTGGATTGTACGTTCAGGGTGCATGCTTTTGTAATTATAATACCCGTTGCGGGAACTCACGCTGGGACGCGTCCACGTCACTCACGCGTCAACGCCTGTTGCGTGTAACGAGAACACATTTTCTGCTCGATGCAGTATACCGACGGAGTGCGGTGGATTTTCCTACATAAGCACTTTATAGAGAGTTATTTACTACATGCGTAGGTACTATTGAAAAAGGAGTTTCATAGTAAAAGTTTAGTTCATAATTTATGTAGTCGAAATGGCAAACTGTAGTGATTTTTCATGTTTTTGGAACTCAATTGCCGGAAGAGTTTAATCACTAAGAGTGGGCGAGCCAAGTTTTGGCACGAATGGGTCGGCTCGACCGGAATGACACGACAGCCTCACAGAATACCGGCGTTAAACAACCACAGCGTCGTGTTTCGCCGAGAGAGTGAGGTTACCGGAGGCCCAAATCCGCCCCTTCCTCTATCCCTTCCCGATCCTTATATTCCAACCCCTATCTCCAAAAGGCCGGGGCAACGCACTCGCAACTCCTTTGGTGTTGCGGGTGTCCATGGGCGGCGCCGATTGCTTACCATCGGGTAGTCCGTCTGCTCGTTTGCCGACTTATACCATAAAAAAACACATTTACAGATATGTAGATGGGTATGTAGAAAAAAGAGGGGGGCAAGGGCCCGGAGCAGGAGAAGAAACTGGGCGGTTTTAGTCAGTTATAGTCTGACATACGTTCTTACCCCACGCAGCAGTGCAGAGCACGCAGA